ACTAGACTGTAGACTAGACTATAGACTAGACTTAGACTAGACTATAGACTAAACTATAGACTAGACTATAGACTAAACTATAGACTAGACTATAGACTAGACTATAGACTAAACTATAGAATATACTATAGACTAGACTATAGACTAGACTATAAACTAGACTATAGACTAGACTATAGACTAGACTATAGACTAGACTATAGACTAGACTATAGACTAGACTATAGACTAGACTTATAGACTTGACTATAGACTAGACTATAGACTAGACTATAGACTAGACTATAGACTAGACTAATTAGACTAGACTATAGACTAGACTATAGACTAGACTATAGACTAGACTATAGACTAGACTATAGACTAGACTATAGACTAGACTATAGACTAGACTATAGACTAGACTATAGACTAGACTATAGACTAGACTATAGACTAGACTATAGACTATACTATAGACTAGTACTATAGACTAGACTATAGACTAGACTTATAGACTAGACTATAGACTAGGACTATAACTAGACTATAGACTAGACTATAGACTAGACTATAGACTAGACTATAGACTAGACTATAGACTAGACTATAGACTAGACTATAGACTAGACTATAGACTAGACTATAGACTAGACTATAGACTAGACTATAGACTAGACTATAGACTAGACTATAGACTAGACTATAGACTAGACTATAGACTAGACTATAGACTAGACTATAGACTAGACTATAGACTAGACTATAGGACTAGACTATAGACTAGACTATAGACTAGACTATAGACTAGACTATAGACTAGACTATAGACTAGACTATAGACTAGACTATAGCTAGACTATAGACTACTATAGACTAGACTATAGACTAGACTATAGACTAGACTATAGACTAGACTATAGAACAGACTATAGACTAGACTATAGACTAGACTATAGACTAGACTATAGACTAGACTATAGATAGACTACTAGACTAGATATAGACTAGACTACTAGACTAGACTAGACTATAGACTAGACTATAGACTAGACTATAGACTAGACTATAGACTAGACTATAGACTAGACATAGACTAGACTATACTAGACTAGACTAGACTACTAGACTAGAATATAGACTAGACTATAGACTAGACTATAGACTAGACTAGACTATAGACTAGACTATAGACTAGACTATAGACTAGACTATAGACTAGACTATAGACTAGACTATAGACTAGACTATAGACTAGACTATAGACTAGACTATAGACTAGACTATAGACTAGACTATAGACTAGACTATAGACTAGACTATAGACTAGACTATAGACTAGACTATAGACTAGACTATAGGACTAGACTATAGACTAGACTATAGACTAGACTATAGACTAGACTATAGACTAGACCTATAGACTAGACTATAGACTAGACTATAGACTAGGACTATAGACTAGACTATAGACTAGACTATAGACTAGACTATAGACTAGACTATAGACTAGACTATAGACTAGACTATAGACTAGACTATAGAGTAGGCTATAGGCTTGATTACAGACAAGACTATTGCCTAGATTACAGACTAGGCTATAGCTTAGATTACAGACTGGACTATAGATATTTTGCTTCTAATCCAATGGAATTTTTCATTGAAAATTCAGACAATTTTCTTATCTGCAACTTCATTCATAACTCAATACACTCATACAAGTGCAAAATTTCACTGTTGTTTCCGTTTCCTCTTGAGAGTACTTTTTCTTTCTACCATTGTTGTTTTCTACTCTTGGCATAACTGTAAATGTAAATGTATTTCATTGTTGTTTACAGTAAACCACCATATTTTTTTCTAGACTAACGTTAGTTTAAAGAGTAAGAGAGGCGTAGGAGTGGTGCAGGGGAGACTGTTAAACCACCTTATGTTTGTTATTGTATGAGTGTGTGTATGTCTTTTATTACTCTTACATTTTTTATAGTATTTTTATTTCTTAATATTTGCCTAAAAACTGTATTTCGTTTCTTTATGTTTTTACTGTTATACAAATCTTTTGTGGACTTTCGCTCTAGCTTTCTTCTATGGGCCACCTTGAACCTTAACAGAAAACCAACCCACATTCATCATCATCATAGAATGAAAATACATGCATAAATATTGAATATAAATATTATACTAGATTATTAAATATACCGACATAAACTTATAGAAAATGTTTTCAGTTACCCATTATATACATACATTGTACATGCATATGTAAATAATTCGAAATTTTTTTCTATTTAAAGCAAAAAAGAAACCTCAACCAAATAATGTAAATGAAGAAGTTTTGTTCAAAATTTTAAGACCTTTTCTTGGCAAACATTGTATTTTATTATTTGTAATAAAAAATACCAGAAAATTATAATAAAAATATCCTAGAGAAACTACTATCGTGTACTTTTGACCACTGAAGAAGGGTCAGTTATTTTTTTTTATTTGTGGTCTTAATACTAACAATTTAAATATTTAAATTCCTTTCTAGGGAAAATACTTATAATGATTATGGTACAAGTTCAGGCAAATTTTTCAGAGAAACTAGACTATAGATTAGACTGTAGACTATACATCAGACTAGACTGTAGACTAGACTATAGGCTATATAGACTATAGACTAGACTATAGACTAGACTATAGACTAGACTATAGACTAGACTATAGACTAGACTATAGACTAGACTATAGACTAGACTATAGACTAGACTATAGACTAGACTATAGACTAGACTATAGACTAGACTATAGACTAGACTATAGACTAGACTATAGACTAGACTATAGACTAGACTATAGACTAGACTATAGACTAGACTATAGACTAGACTATAGACTAGACTATAGACTAGACTATAGACTAGACTATAGACTAGACTATAGACTAGACTATAGACTAGACTATAGACTAGACTATAGACTAGACTATAGACTAGACTATAGACTAGACTATAGACTAGACTATAGACTAGACTATAGACTAGACTATAGACTAGACTATAGACTAGACTATAGACTAGACTATAGACTAGACTATAGACTAGACTATAGACTAGACTATAGACTAGACTATAGACTAGACTATAGACTAGACTTTAGACTAGACTATAGACTAGACTATAGACTAGACTATAGACTAGACTATAGACTAGACTATAGACTAGACTTTAGACTAGACTATAGACTAGACTATAGACTAGACTATAGACTGGACTATAGACTAGACTATAGACGACTATAGACTAGACTATAGACTAGACTATAGACTAGACTATAGACTAGACTATAGACTAGACTATAGACTAGACTATAGACTAGACTATAGACTAGACTATAGACTAGACTATAGACTAGACTATAGACTAGACTATAGACTAGACTATAGACTAGACTATAGACTAGACTATAGACTAGACTATAGACTAGACTATAGACTAGACTATAGACTAGACTATAGACTAGACTATAGACTAGACTATAGACTAGACTATAGACTAGACTATAGACTAGACTATAGACTAGACTATAGACTAGACTATAGACTAGACTATAGACAGACTAGACTAGATCTAGACTACTATAGACTAGACTAAGACTAACTATTACACTAGACTATAGACTAGACTATATACTAGACTATAGACTCGACTATAGCTAGACTATTAGACTAGACTATATACAGACTAGACTATAGACTAGGACTATAGACTAGACTATAGACTAGACTATAGGACTATGACTAGACTATAGACTAGACTATAGACTAGACTATAGACGAGACTATATAGACTTAGACTATTAGACTAGGACTATAGACTAGACTATAGACTAGACTATAGACTAGACTATAGACTAGACTATAGACTAGAATATAGACTAGATATAGACTAGACTATAGACTAGAATAAAGACTAGACTATAGATTAGACTATAGATTAGACTATAGACTAGACTATATGACTAGACTATAGACTAGACTATAGACTATGACTATCGACTACACTATAGACAAGACTATAGACTAGACTATAGACTAGACTATAGACTACACTATAGACTAGACTATAGACTAGACTATAGACTAGACTATAGACTACACTATAGACTAGACTAGACTATAGACTAGACTATAGACTAGACTATAGACTAGACTATAGACTAGACTATAGACTAGACTATAGACTAGACTATAGACTAGACTATAGATTAGACTATAGACAGACTATAGACTAGACTATAGACTAGACTATAGACTAGGCTATAGACTAGACTATAGACTAGACTATAGACTAGACTATAGACTAGACTATAGACTAGACTAGACTACAGACTAGATTATAGGCTAAACTATAGGACTAGACTATAGACTAGACTATAGACTAGACTATAGGACTAGACTATAGACTAGACTATAGACTAGACTATAGACTAGACTATAGACTAGACTATAGACTAGACTATAGACTAGACTATAGACTAGACTATAGACTAGACTATAGACTAGACTATAGACCTAGACTATAGACTAGACTATAGACTAGACTATAGACTAGACTATAGACTAGACTATAGACTAGACTATAGACTAGACTATAGACTAGGCTATAGACTAGGCTATAGACTAGACTATAGACTAGACTATAGACTAGACTATAGACTAGACTATAGACTAGACTATAAACTAGACTATAGACTAACTAAAGACTAGACTATAGACTAGACTGTAAACTGGACTATAGACTTGACTACAGACTAGACTATTGACTTGACTATTGACTAGACTTTAGACTACACTATACATTATACCATAGACAAGATCATAGACTAAAAATGTTCCAATGCATGTAATAGGGTTTGAAAATTTCTCACAATTCATAAAATCTAATAGTTTTTTCCATAATTTCTTAAGGTTTTTTACTGCAAAAATTTATTTTTGAAAAAAATAGCACCAAGCTAAATCTAAACTAAATAAAAAATTTCCGTTTTTAAAACAACAAAATTGAAGTGTGTGATTTTAGCAATTGAAGTAAAATATATATAAATTTAACTGAATAATAACAACGTTTTTCTTGAGCAACAAAATGTACCGTTAAAAGTTTAAAACTCATTGATGTTGCTGGCTGTTCATGAAAGCTACAACATCAACAAAATTATCAACAGCAGCAGCAGCTGTTTGACTTAACCTGCATCTCTACCTTTAAACATCACCAACAACGTTACCAATATCATCGTTGATATTATAATCGCAGTCTTCTTAAGCGTTTTAACCAAAAAGCCAAATACTCATACACACTTTCTCAAACCCCTGCTGTGTGCTTTCAAGTGTAGCTGGGTTAGAGTGAGAGTCCTTCTCAGTATTTATAAGGTTCAGTGTCTCAAAAATTCCTCAGAAAAACTTGATATGTATGTGTTTACAACTCATCTGTGCTACTTCGTCCTCTGCAACTAACTCTCCTTTCACCTACACAGTTTATAGTTCGTTGTTACCATTATAAAGCTTCGTTTGCAAAAGCAACAACAACAACCAATTTATTTATTGGTTGTTTCGTCGGCTTTGGCTTGTTTCCTTCCGTTGTTTTGCCATGCAATCGAATACAAGTCGTGCTACTTTAAGTGCACAATCATCGGGTACACCTTCGGCATCAACTATATCCTCATCTGGAAAGGTAAGTGTTAAACTATAATATACAACATCATATAAATCTAGAGTTTCCCTGGAATTTCTACGAATCCTTTTTCAAACCAACCCCATGTTTGGAAACTAAATATAATTAAGATATATGAAAATAAATTTACTATTTTGTGAAATCTCCTTTTTTCCCTTTATCCTACATCTTACCTTTACTTTGTTTACTTTTATAGCAGAGAGAGTATGATTTTCCTAATAAAATATTATAATGAAAATAAATAAACTAACATTTTATTAAAGCAGAATTATGAATAGAAACATAAAAAACTTCATTCATAAGAAAAATAGGAAAAAAACTAAATTATTAAGATCTTAAGAAAACTAATACAAGTTAAAGAATACATACTAAAGGCAAGACTACAGACAAATCTGTAGACCAACCTACAATAGACTATAGACTAGACTGTAGACTAGGACTATAGACTAGAATATAGACTAGACTGCAGACTAGACTATAGACTAGACTATAGACTAGACTATAGACTAGACTATAGACTAGACTATAGACTAGACTATAGACTAGACTATAGACTAGACTATAGGACTAGACTATAGACTAGACTAGACTATAGACTAGACTAGACTATAGACTAGACTATAGACTAGACTATAGACTAGACTATAGACTAGACTATAGACTAGACTATAGACTAGACTAGAACTAGACTATAGACTAGACTAGACTATAGACTAGACTATAGACTAGACTATAGACTAGACTAGACTATAGACTAGGACTATAGACTATAGACTAGACTATAGACTAGACTATAGACTAGACTATAGACTAGACTATAGACTAGACTATAGACTAGACTATAGACTAGACTATAGACTAGACTATAGACTAGACTATAGACTAGACTATAGACTAGACTATAGACTAGACTATGACTAGACTATAGACTAGACTATAGACTAGAGCCTATAGACTAGACTATAGACTAGACTATAGACTAACTATAGACTAGACTATAGACTAGACTATAGACTAGACTATAGACTAGACTATAGACTAGACTATAGACTAGACTATAGACTAGACTATAGACTAGACTATAGACTAGACTATAGACTAGACTATAGACTACTACTAGACATAGACTAACTATAGACTAGACTATAGACTAGACTATAGACTAGACTATAGACTAGACTATAGACTAGACTATAGACTAGACTATAGGACTAGACTATAGACTAGACTATAGACTAGACTATAGACTAGACTATACTAGACTATAGACTAACTATAGACTAGACTATAGACTAGACTATAGACCTAGACTATAGACTAGACTATAGACTAGACTATAGACTAGACTATAGACTAGACTACAGACTTGACTATAGACTAGACTATAGACTAGACTATATACTAGACTATAGACTAGACTATAGACTAGACTATACTAGACTATAGACTAGACTATAGACTAGGACTATAGACTAGACTATAGACTAGACTATAGGACTAGACTATAGACTAGACTATAGACTAGACTATAGACTAGACTATAGACTAGACTATAGACTAGACTATAGACTAGACTATTAGACTAGACTATAGACTAGACTATAGACTAGACTATAGACTAGACTATAGACTAGACTATAGACTAGACTATAGACTAGACTATAGACTAGACTATAGACTAGACTATAGACTAGACTATAGACTAGACTATAGGACTAGACTATAACTAAGACTAGACTATAGACTAGACTATAGACTAGACTATAGACTAGACTACTAGACTAGGACTATAGACTAGACTATAGACTAGACTATAGACTAGACTATAGACTAGACTATAGACTAGACTATAGGACTAGGACTATAGACTAGACTATTAGACTAGACTATAGACTAGACTATAGACTAGACTATAGACTAGACTATAGACTAGACTATAGACTAGACTATAGACTCGACTATAGACTAGACTAATAGACTATAGACTAGACTATAGACTAGACTATAGACTAGACTATAGACTAGACTATAGACTAGACTATAGACTACTATAGACTAGACTATAGACTAGACTATAGACTAGACTATAGACTAGACTATAGACTAGACTATAGACTAGACTATAGACTAGACTATAGACTAGACTATAGACTAGACTATAGACTAGACTATAGACTAGACTATAGACACTAGACTATAGACTAGACTATAGACTAGACTATAGACTAGACTATAGACTAGACTATAGACTAGACTATAGACTAGACTATAGACTAGACTATGACTAGACTATAGATAGACTATAGACTAGACTATAGACTAGACTATAGACTAGACTATAGACAGACTATAGACTAGACTATAGACTAGACTATAGACTAGACTATAGACTAGACTATAGACTAGACTATAGACTAGACTATAGACTAGACTATAGACTAGACTATAGACTAGACTATAGACTAGACTATAGACTAGACTATAGACTAGACTATAGACTAGACTATAGACTAGACTATAGACTAGACTATAGACTAGACTATAGACTAGACTATAGACTAGACTATAGACTAGACTATAGACTAGACTATAGGCTAGACTATAGACTAGACTATAGACTAGACTATAGACTAAACTATAGACTAGACTATAGACTAGACTATAGACTAGACTATAGACTAAACTATAGACTAAACTATAGACTAGACTATAGACTAGACTATAGACTAGACTATAGACTAGACTATAGACTAGACTATAGACTAGACTACAGACTAGACTATAGACTAGACTATAGACTAGACTATAGACTAGACTATATACTGTAGTGCAAACTATAGACTAGCCTATATACTGGACAGACAAGACTATAGTTCAAACTATAGCCTACACTATAGTCAAGACTATAGACTAGCTTATAGTCCAGACTAAAGGCTAGACCATTGTTCAGATTACAGTCCAGGTTATAGACTAGGCTATAGTATAGGTTAAAGTCCAGACTATGGACTAGATTATAATATAGACTACATAGTTAAGATTGGAGTCTAAAATAGACTGTATTGAAGTCTATGGCTTACACTGTTGACAAGGCTATAGATTGGACTATAGTCTGGACTATGATGGATTATAAGCTAATATATAGAGTAGGCTGGATTCCATCCTAGTTCAGACTGTAAATTAGACTATTGTCCTGACTATATAATGGATTACATTACATACTATAGTCCAGATTATAGACTAGACCATTGTCCAGATTACAGTACAGGTTATAGACTAGGTTATAGTATAGGTTATAGTCCAGATTATGGTTTCGATTATAGTATAGACTATATAGTTCAGATTGTAATCTAAAATAGATTATAGTCCAGTCTAGACTATAGACTAGTGTATAGACTAAACTATAATCCAGATTATAGACTAGACTATAGTCCAGATTGTATATAGCCTAAAATAGATTGCTGTGAAGGCTGTAGACTAGATTGGGTTGCAAACTATTGCTTGGACTAATATAGTGAAGAGGAAATTGCAACGACTGTAGTTTTTAACTTTTTCCTAAACTATTTCCAAGACTTTAACCTAGATTCTAATTAATACATTATGTGTATCATTTAACGCAATTTAATTACATTCTATGGTAACTAAACCGGTTTAGTTTTAATACCAGTTCCTTGTTCTTGTTTTTTGACACCCACCTCCTCCTGCTGAATATCTTGTAATATCCTTTAGCCTGCTTAACGTCAGTAACATGTAATATTATGAAAATCACTTGATTTTCATTAATTTCTGCGTGTGCTACGCATCATAATATTGCTGTATATATGAACGCAATGCATAATAAAAATCTCCGTTTCTCATTAAAATCATAATGTCGTCGTTCTTGTCGTCGTCGTCATCATCTCAAATATATACGACTTCCTTTATGAAACTTCCGTTTCTCCTTTGCAGCTGTTGTTTCTTTTTTTCGCTGGGTTTTATACTGGTTTCATTTTGCACAAAACTTTTATTTTTTCGCATTTATTCAATTGCGGGGGAGTTGCTAGATTTTTACTAAATAGTACTGCCACGAAGTATGCTTTAGTTGTCGACGTTAAAGAGGGTGAGAAGGAGATGGTGATTGTGTGGGTGTTTTACTTAGAACAGTATGAGTTTAATGCAACTGGTGTTGCCTGCTCTGTACAGCGTCAGTTTTATTGGCCTCCATTAAAACTAGAGTTAAATTTTTCTTGTGTTTTGTGGTTTCAATTGTAAGTATTTCCGGGTTTTGAAATTGCAAAAAACCGCAAAGTTTTTTGTCTTTTTTTTTGCAAAAATTATGCTCAAATAGAAACTTATTTTATTCAATTAAAGCATTTGTAACTTGGAAAACTTTAACACACTTTTTAATAAACATCCATAAAGTTTTTTACTTGTGACATTCATAATCAAGAGAATATGATACTGTTGATAGAACTTTTCCGGTTAAAATCATTTGCTTACATAACGACAACTAAAAAACAACTTCAGATAATATAAGACATTTTCCGGAAAATGTATGTTTCTGTCAATACAAAAACAAAACTTGTTTAAAAAACATTATTCTTTAGAAATCCTCTGAAGGCTTTTTCTAAACTAGTAAATAGAAAATCAAACATTTTTCTTTACATTGACAACATTAAACTGGCAGTTTGTTTTCAGTTGTTGCACCTTCTACAACATCCCACCACCGTTTCCGCTTTCATCATAACTATAGCATCTCCAAACCATCTCAATAGCCATTGTATCAATATCACTATAAGTTTCGTTATTTCCAATTTTTGTTGTTGCCTTAACCACATACACTGTCATCATATCATTGTCATTGCTTAAACTCGTCATCAGCTTTAAAGTGCTGCTGCTCCACCTCATCCGCAACAGCAACAGCAGCATCAACATCATCATATCTATTTGATTTTGCTAGCTGTCCATAAAGTTATGGCATCTATTTTCATTTGTTAAAGTTTGTTTTTTCTCTCTTTCTCTAC